GATCTTTACCATCAGCACGAATACCTCTTGCCAAAGGCACTTGACCATTACTCGAAAATCCCCTAATATGTTCTTCGTGAGAAGCACACACTAAACAACTCACAGATGGTCTTATTCGATCTCCAAATTTGTCTTTCGAAACAGATAAACATTTGTTCGCTTCCAGCAGCCAATTGAGATTTATTTTTTTGTTTTTGTACCAACCTTCAACTTCGTTCCGTTCATCGCTGGGCGTTTCGGACGTTTCTTCACCTGATGCCAGGTCATCGACAATAGAGAAATTAATGCTATTTTCATCGTCGTCAGCAGCTGTATTTTTAGATCCATCATCTTTTGTTTCCAACACAGCGGGAGCTGAGCATGTCGATGCACTTTCACCTCTGACGAATGACTCATTTGTATTGCGGTGAAAAAAGTCATATAAAGTGGTTTGCCAATGATAACCGCTCAATTCCTTTCGCTTGTTGTTTGTCGCTATATTTTTATAATGTACAAATTTATAAAAATTATCATTTTATATTTAAATAAAAATCGTGAAACATTGGTGACATGTGCCCCCAATACGTAATGTCAGCGGAAAAACATGGGTTCATGTACTTTGTGTTCTGCACGTGTATAATTTGAAACAAAACCATTACTGCCGAATATAAATGCTGTCAAGAAATTGAAAGTTTATAGACTAGCGTTTTAATAGCTTGTTTAAGGTAAATAATTTTATATTCTTGATGCTAAAATGTAAAGACTGAAGCTGCGGGGGCCCACACAGTGGTGGGCCAATACCCTGTGAGTGGTGGGCCACTTGAGGAGCCTGGTGGGCCAAATGGCCCACCAGTCTATTACTTAAAATATGCCTTGGATCCTGGATGCCAACAAGGATATCGAGGAAACAAACAGGGCACTGGAAGACCTGAGGCTTTATACGAGGCTCATGGATAGTACGGCATCCCAACGCACACCGAAATTGGAGAATTACTTTCAACCATCGGATGAAATGAAAAGATACGCAGTGTTGACAGTGGGTATACTGGGTGTTGGTGGTGCTTATGGATTAACACGGATATTTTAAATCTTTCAAAAAGATTTAAAAAATCCTATGTTGTCAAGAGGCTATGTTGTCAAGAATCAGTCAAAAATCCTATGTTGTCAAGCAATTTACGGTTGTAGCTTTTGTTCTGTTGGTTACGTTTCCGGCGGAATCTATGTCCTTAAATTCAACGCCATGGATCTGGATGTTTGTGCTGGTCAAGGCATATTTTAAGTAATAGACCGGTGGGCCATTTGGCCCACCAGGCTCCTCAAGTGGCCCACCACTCACAGGGTATTGGCCCACCACTGTGTGGGCCCCCGCAGCTTCAGTCTTTACATTTTAGTACCAAGAATATAAAATTATTTACCTTAAAAAAGCTATTAAAACGCTAGTCTATAAACTTTCAATTTCTTGACAGTATTTATATTCGGCAGTAATGGTTTTGTTTCAAATTATACACGTGCAGAACACAAAGTACATGAACCCATGTTTTTCCGCTGACATTACGTATTGGGGGCACATGTCACCAATGTTTCACGATTTTTATTTAAATATAAAATGATAATTTTTATAAATTTGTACATTATAAAAATATAGCGACAAACAACAAGCGAAAGGAATTGAGCGGTTATCAGAAAAGAAAAAATAAGAGACTGCGAGAATTGAACATATCTATTATGAACCATTGGCAAACCACTTTATATGACTTTTTTCACCGCAATACAAATGAGTCATTCGTCAGAGGTGAAAGTGCATCGACATGCTCAGCTCCCGCTGTGTTGGAAACAAAAGATGATGGATCTAAAAATACAGCTGCTACGACGATGAAAATGTTATTAATTTCTCCATTGTCGATGACCTGGCATCAGGTGAGGAAGCGTCCGAAACGCCCAGCGATGAACGGAACGAAGTTGAAGGTTGGTACAAAAACAAACAAAAAAATCTCAATTGGCTGCTGGAAGCAAACAAATGTTTATCTGTTTCGAAAGACAAATTTGGAGATCGAATAAGACCATCTGTGACTTGTTTAGTGTGTGCTTCTCATGAAGAACATATTAGGGGATTTTCGAGTAATGGTCAAGTGCCTTTGGCAAGAGGTATTCGTGCTGATGGTAAAGATCGTTTGATAATAAAATTGAGAATATCCAGAATATTGAATCTAGTGATCAAGGTACAGTTTTGACAGTGAGATTAAGGAAAATGATTCAAGTCAGCCAAGGTCTTCTAAAAACACTCCTTGCATCATTTCTCGCTGTTACACAGCACAGCACAGTATGGCACTATGAGGACTGAGCGTGTTGTTTCTCACTAGAACAGATTAAAAACAGAAGACAGAGCTTGTCTAAAACAGACAACAATAAATAATGTTGTACAAATTTCACTGAATGGGAAAGGAACTGTTCTGTTCGTTCCAAGGGAGGCAGTAGCAGAATTTCTAAAACGAAAAAGCAGAAGAATTTCCCAACCTGACACAGAACTTTTTAAGGATAGAGAGTATATGAAAAAAATTTATAGGGAATCAAGTGGATGTTTGTAAATTACTTCTGTTTAGTCACTTTAGTGGAGAGTGCCAGAGTGGAACTGGAATACTTTCAACACTGCATTTCATTTACAATCATTTCAGTATTTTTTATATTTTTAGTCAGATCAATTGCATCTGTTAGTGCGGCGAACTCAGAACTGGGGTTTGTCACCCATGCTCTTGATGACATGATACCCCAGTACGCCAGTAGCGAAGTTAGCGGAGTACCCGTCTGTAGTGTGGAAACTAGAAATAATAAGTATGTGTTGAATGTGACACTGTAATACTCAATAAGTTCAGGGGAAGCGTTTTAACACGATTACTACACAAATATTCAATACTCAGGGCTGGGCCGGCAGGGGGGGGGGGAGACGCGGGGGCCATACCGTAAATTTTGGCCCACCACTGTAAATTCCTTAAAATATGCCTTGCCAGGATCTCAGACATCCGCTTCACCTCAGATTCGTAAAACTTCTCCTCGGTTTTCGCAAGCTTCTCTAAGGCTTGGTTATGTCTTTTTACCTCTTCTATGTATCCTTGTCCATTGAACTTGGAAAATAGAAAACCTGCTCCAGCAAAGGCCACGGCATTAAAGAGTCCTCCAACCACAACAGATGTCATTCTTTATTTATCAATTACTTTTGGGATATACCCTTTATCCTTCAGGTATCCTATGGCAAATGCACTTCCTGCCACAGCAACAGCGAACTTTGCTGCTCCTTCCATAGTCATCGGCCTAGGCTTTTTCCAGCAACCATTTTGGCAAGGTAGGATACCCCAACAACTCCGGTTGTCAATAGTGCCACATCGTACAGTTCGTTGATCACTTCCTTCTTTGTGTCGGTCATTATGTTTTTTATTATAGTAGAACTATTTATCCTTCAGCTTCTCTTCCAGGATTAGAGAGAATCTTCTTTCCAGGGTGTCGAGCATCCTGTCTTCACTTTCCTTGCGTTCGACTTCCGTCGCCTCGCGTTTGGCTTCTTTCACCTTAGCCGCATGGATGTAAATAAGACAAGTTCCGGCTGCTACGGAAAAGGTCAGTATGTCTAGAAATAATTGTGACATTGTTTTATTATACTCTCTTTTTTAGTCAAACAAGTCAGGTCCCTTTGGTGTGATAACAACAGGTTCCGGCTCCTCTACAATCTTATTTTCCTCAAGCTTCTCGTTCTTTTCCTGACGACTACACCACATAAAGTAAAGGGATCCTAGCCCTACGGCGATACCTACTACCAAGCCGACACTCTCTAGGGTGACTATTGACCCATCACCTTTGTCCTCTGTGTCCGTAATGCTTTGCTCCTCTTCTTTGATAGCTTCCAGTTGTGCCTCCTTTCTTGCTTTTGCTTCCTTACTGATCCTAGCAAGGCTACGTCCTGACACCACCCTTCTCGGATCTTTTACACGAGTTTTTGTCGGATTTGTGACAGGTACTGCTGTCTGTAAACAACGTTCAATTTTACTATATATTTAATAACATTTAAACACATATCACAATAAAACAGCCGGTTCGGCACTGGCGCTAGCTTTGTTATATTTTCGCCATGTCTGGAGGCGTGAACTCTAAAAAGAAGGCGGGTTGTGGGCGTGCCACACTAGCTTCTGATTGGCGCGTTGTCTCTACGTCATTACTATCATTTATAATGTTAATATAAACCTGAACCGTTCGATACACTCCCGAGGGTTAATGTTTGTACTAATATAACTATTATAAACTTAAATCACGTTATTGTGTCACACAGTATCTTTACGATTGTTCTGACTTCGTAGGAAGTATTTAGTAACAACTGTACTCCTTGCGTTCGCCTTCAGCGGTTCCTTTGAAGCGGCATCCTCTTTCGTCTCTTCCGTCGTAGGATCCCTCGCGTGCGTTTCGTTCTTCTGTTTGCAACTCGACCGTATTTCTAGAGGA